TTCACTCAATTTCATTTCAGTTTACCGCGAACTGTACATCAATATTTATATTGATTAAACTTATTGTTACCGAGACGGCATTGAACTTTTCAATGATTGAATAATTCATAGTATACGTAACTACAAAACAATAGCTTTTTGCTTTAATTGTTAAAACGTAGGAGTTCATTATATTATTATATTTTACTGTTAATATGTACAGTTTGTAAAATAAGTTAAAGGGCACATTTACTAAATGTTAAATACATAAAATATTACATATGTTCTTAGTTCTACATATATGAGTTTACACGTTGGTTAAAATGCAAAAAAATCTATTTGGGTTTTACATTAGTATTTAAAACAACGAAGCATCTGTTAAGATTTATCATTGAAATTTAAAGTGGAAATCAAATATGCAATTTACATGAACTAAACCTATTCTGTAGGATTACCTACCTATAGAATAGGTTAATATTAAGAATATTTTCCTAACCGATTTCGCCGAAACCGAGATCAATTCGGTTATGGCAGCTAACTGCTAGCCAACTGAGCGGGACTTATTGTAGTGCACAAGTGTGTGCAAAGACACAAGTGCACTCTCCACTCCTTTATTCCTTGTATTGCGAAGGGACGAGAACTCGACGAGCAGAATCGATATGGAGGTGTATACACAGCGGACTTCCCAACTTCAGGCAAACCTTACAAGTACTATAAGACATTAATTGTAACTCATATAGTCAAAATCTGGCTTGCGTCTCTTTTTTAAATTACATGGATACTTGTAATGTCAGATTTTCATTTCACAAATAAAATACTACCAATCCTCCATCTATCGCCTATACCTTATATATGTATACCCTTGATAAACACCCACAGAGTAAGACGACGCTAGGTTGTCTTACATACTGTAATCTGGCTGGAAACCAAATTTTAACGATTTATGACAAAAAATCCAGCACTTATGAAAAAACATATTACAATTGATACTAAAAAAGTAGATAAGTACTTTTTTGTACGGCATGGGTTTTTGCCACGTTACTATCAATGCTAAAAAAGGATTTTTTTGTGCGACATCGGTTTTTGCCACATTAAAGTTCAAAAAAAGGTACTTTAGACATGGAAAAAATATATTATACAATACATACCTACAATCAAATTGTAAATATAATAAATGTTCACTGCCTCGGTGGTGTAATGGCTAGCATGTACGGCTGCACACCCGGAAGTCCTGGGTTCGAGTCCCGGGCCGGCCAACTTTAGTTATTGAGTCTTACCGTACAGTAAGTCTCAGTAATAGCCCGGAGTTGGGAAGTTGGCGGTGTTTCACCCCCGTGCCTCGGAGAGCACGTAAAGCCGTCGGTCCTGCGCCGACACGCTCACCGGCCGTGTCGAGTTGTCGTCCCACCGGAGTATGAGAGTGATAGGAATAGAGAGTGCACTTGTGTCTGCGGGTACACTTGTGCACTATAATATTATCTCCTGCGCAGTTGGCTAATCGCAATGAGATTGGCCGCCGTAGTCGGAATCGGCTAGGAGAACATCATCATAATAAATTTTCGTGCGTTGTAATAATTTAGTTGGTATTTTATTTTACTTTGCTTGAAAACCTCAAACGGTCGTGTAAGTTGATTCTGTACATAAAGTTCCTCACAAAGTCCTTTTTTTTGAAGTCGGAAAAAAGACCCTTTACCATATCTATTTTAATATCTATACTAATATTATAAAGAGGTAAAGTTTGTGAGTTTGTGACGTTGTAGGGGAAAATCTCTGGACCTACTGAACCAATTTAGATGAAATTTGGTAATAAGAAAGTTTGATACCCTGAGAAGGAGATAGGATACTTTTTATCCAGGATATCATCCCTTAAGGGGGTGAAAATGGGGATGAAAATTTGTATTGGGAAGCAAGCGAGAAGCGAGGGTGAGTCGCTAGTGTTACATAAACAAAGTGGTACAATCTTCCCTTTTATAGTTAGTAAATTATTTTATATATACGAAAATTCTGTCATAACATCCACTTTGTTTCTCAGTTAAATTGAAACCGCAATGTTTACAATTTAGATCATTCATTCATTAATCGAGATACCTACTTAATATGAATGCCGCATGCTCACATTGGACTACTTTGCCATATTGAGCGTTCGTAGCCTGTTTTACTATTTTGTCCATCTGTAAATCTATTTTCTTTTATTAAAAAATACAGGCCAAACACATATATTCCTCCTTTTTAAAAGTCGGTTTAAAAAGAAAATTTTAAATATACAAGAGCATTTTTACATATAGATATTATTCGTATTAAATTCGTGGCAGAATAAGGATCGACCAACGTCGCCTCGTATTAGACTACGAGTACACGTTCCTAATATTATACTATAATATAATTAAATCTATACATATAATAAAATTCTAACTGAATCGAATCTGTACATAAAATATTTTTTGTTAAATCTTATTGACATAGTCATTATTTTCGATACAGACACAGAATCTATAGTTTTTAGAATTTTTGTCCGTCTGTCTGTCTGCGCCGCATCACAAGAAAACCGCTGGGCAGATTTTGTTGAAATTTGGTATGATGATAGCTGGTTATCCGGGTCAACATATAGGATACTTTTTATTGCGAGAAAATATCTCATCTCTGAGAAATCTATACTAAATGGTTAAATGGATATAATGTTAATATATAAATCAGTGTACTTTGTAAAGCAAGTCAGTGTTAGTTATCTCCTTCATCATTTTGTAGGACAATTAATTATTTTAAATATCTCGGATAGCTTTCACTAGTAGGCAACTAAAACAAATGAGCAAAGTTTCATCTTTTAAAAGTTAATTATCACGACTAAAGAAAATTTAAAATAAATACAATGTTGATTTTAAGGCAAATAGATGGGAATTAAACTAAGGTTGTTACAAACGATAGGATTACAAAGCTTAAAAAACACCTCCATTATGATGTCGCAGATTTCATGAACTCATATGGAGAAAAAGAAAGAACATGAATTTGATATGTAACTTATACCTTTAATAATTTGCTCCTATCGGTCCACAGAAACTAAGTTGTCAATATAGCTAATCACAAGTACTCGTATATCAAATTTTATTTATTCACTATTTATCTGTCAAGGTTAGGATCTGATATCTAATTTTTCATCAATAACGACAACGACAGTCATTTGTTTCCCAATTCCAACGATTTCACAAGTTGTCACCGCTACGATCTCAAGCGTTAACAACACTAATAATGTGTAAACAAGATACTCATCGACAGAGAAATATTTCAACTTTTTGTTATCACCTTAAAATAAAGTGTAATGCAAATCAATTATAAAAAAAAAGTGTGTATGTACTTATGTACGTACGCACGTAAGAAAACTTCTAAATTGGCGTAACAACAAAATTAGTTAAAGATTTCTTCCCGTAAGTCACAGCTCTCTGTTTGGAAAAGGAATGCAGTTAACTTTCATCATGTCGCTTTTTAGCTGTCGGGGTGCGAGCGCATCATAAAAATTTTACTTACATAATTTTTTCCAAAGTGCCAAAAGAAGTGCCTTCAAAAATGTTAAATATGCTTATAAATAAGCTTCTTTTTATACTGATACTTAAAAGTTGTTCATGAGCAATATTAGTCTGCTTTTCTACAGAACAACATGCACCACTTGATTTAGATTTAAATATTTTTGGTCAGAAATTTAGAAAATTAAGTCGCAAACAAGAATTATTATAAATTATCTTACTATTATGAATGAGAAAGTTTAGAAGAATGTATGGTTTCCGTGGGCTAGATTTGTTTTTATGCATAGTTAATAATAATTTTTCTTTATGCATAGTCATTCAAAAAGTATGTTTTTTAATTTTTGTAACCTTTTTAAGAGAAAGATTCGATATAGATTATTATTACTAAAAACCTGTTAAATCATCCAAGAAAACACTTTAAAAAAGTATTCCACTGATAATAATTTATAAACAATGAAATTATAAAAAACTCCATTTTGTAAGCAATATTTATAGCAATATAATATTATTTATCAACAAAACAATGTTTCTTTATCCAAACTCTGAAGTGTATGTTTTTAATGATAAGTCATTGAAATAAATTGAAAGACAAGAAGAAAATTTTATTATATTATAAGAAAACTGAAGTTATTTTATTAAAATATATAGTTAATCCAATAGAGTTATAACAATTAGTAAAGAGTGAGTTTAATATATTTTTAAACTTTATTTTTAGGTTTTATTGTACTTTATTTTTTTTTACTTCATTATTTTTCACATTTTCACTAAAGTTAACTGATTAATGCCTGATTTCACCAACATCACCTAAGTTTAAGGGATTCCCTAAGCATGGTTAGGGGGCTGTTAGGGGACAGTTTCTGTTTCACCGACATTTAGGGTCACCTAAATATTAAAAGGCCCCCTAAATTTAGGTGCTAGAAATATGGGCTTAAAGACGATCGTAAAACGAAATTTAATTTAGGTGCTAGTTTAGGGGACTTTTAAGCTAGGGATCCCATACATAGGTGGTAGCTTATGGGTTGTTGGTGAAATCGGTCATTAGTGTAAAATAATAAAATAACTAGAAAATGATATAAGTCTTAGAACTAAGAGAAAATATGATCTAGATTCTAGATAAAGAAATAGATCTATTGAAACGTCTTGAGTTAATTCACTAATAAATAATAATTTATTCCTTTAGGCAATCCTGTGTGCATCATAGTGCTTAAAATATCACCCAACAAAGATTGGTAAAAAAATAAACTGTTATTTTTGTAAATGAAATGCATAATATCATGAAACAACATGACTATAAATTTTCGATTATTTGGAACTACATATTATGATTTATTTTTATTTATTTGTAAGAAATTTAAATAGCTAGCGATATTCACAAATTAGATAGGTGTTCAATAATATTATTAAACAATAGAACGCGTGATCGTTCTTTGTCCCATTTAAATGACGAGATGATGACACAAGAAAATTAAAAATAGTTCGACAAATTTAAAAATTGACAGGTCTTACCTCCGTCTTTAAAGGATGCTGTTTCATCTATTGGAATGATGAGCAAAGGCAAAATTCCACTTAAACCGACCAGAATAGACGCGAGAGCAGAGAAAAGCCATGGATGCTCATCTAATTCCTCCACAAAACTGTAAAAATACTCCGGAAAAAATCCCGCCACGGCGCTCTCCATTTTAATTGAAAATTATTGTTTTTAAACCTTCGTTTCACAAAAATAAATGTGAATTAACGAACACCGTACACCGCAATAAATGATCACGTCGTATCACATTAACTTTTAATAAGATTATTCCATATTTTTTAGAAGATTCTGTTGCCCAGACGAACTAATCTACACTGAGATTGAGTACGTCCGTTCTTATCTCCACAGATTCGATTGCAATATCTCTAAGCTGTTGAAATTAAGATAAATTTGTAAGTGACGATCAATTGTGTTTTCTCATTTTTGCCACTTTATTTACTACGCAACCGCCTACGCGAAACACAATATTCCTACAACGACGCAATTAATCGAATAGTAAATTCTTTTCCTTGTTCAATGTTTTGTTTTGCTTGCAGTGAATGAAATTGAGACCGAAACGAAGTTAGTAATGAAGTGCGAAATACGAATGGAAAATGGCCACAGATTAATATTTAATACAGTATATGAATATCATTTAAATGAGTTAAATAATTTAAAAATAAAAAATGTATAATATTTTACCAGATATATTTTTTATAATTTCAAGATTTTCCATTGGGAAAATTTTCGATTTTCGTATTCAGTATAAATATTTACACTGGTAACATTAAAACGCCCACTACGTGAAGTAATTAATTAGTAAATGACTAGCCCGGAACAGTCTCATTTACGAGTAGTTTATGGGTTCGATTCTGTTGTGATACTATTTATTTTTTACATGATATAAATTTATTACAAATATATTTTTCCAGTTATACAATGGCGATATGATGTTTACTGGTCTAATAGACTTCATAACAAGAGTAACTTCGTTGACTTGTATTGAAATTTGATTATTAAGTCTTTTATAATTATTATTAATTAACATATTAATTAAGTGATATTTTATGTATCTATTCGCTTATTCTGAGTTTGAGACCACATTTATATACTACTTAATTTGAAAAGCTCATATGAACCAACGTGTTATAAATCAAAATACCTTTTTAATATTAATTAATTTTGATACGAGGTATCTTTGTCTCTTCCTTACGATGCGTAGTAATGTGACCGAGCGTTACCGTGACACAAAATGCAATACGAATCTTCTTGGCAACAACGTCGGACAGCCCAGTTGAAGCAAAATGTCGTACTTATTTTGGCTTGCCAATTTAAATATCTGGCTACATATATATCTAACGTACCTACCGAATGGACGGTGTAAGACGTAAGCTAATGTTAACCCCGCTTGGGCAGACGCGTCGTTGGAGTTGCTAAACTTCGTTGTAAAGTTTCGCGCCAAAGTGACGTTTCGATAACGTTGTGAAGAACGTTAAAAATTTGTGAATCAAGCCAAAAATCTATTGTGTTAATTGCTAACCTCATTTGGCAAATTAAATATGGATTCGTGGGGCATTTTAAATGTGGATACTGCAGCTGCAGCAATATCCCGTGACGATATGCAGACTAGTTTCCGCAGGAAACAAACAATGGTAAATATTTTTATAATACCTAACATAATTTTAGTTTTATCGATACATATGTCTCATTTAAGAATCTAAAAATATTTTTTTAATTAAAAAGAATAGACACTTTCCCGTGTACCAAAGGTACGGAAGTACCACTTATTAATTATTATTATTAATTTTGTATACATTTCAATTAGTTGTATTTAATTTAACCTCTTAGGTTAAGTATAAATATTTATTTTATCTTTCCTCGGGACTCGTTCGCTTGCGCCCCTAGTACACCAGTAGTACCAATAGGTAGTGGTAGTAGTTGGCCCTACGCATTTATAGTATTACGGAACTTTTAACAAGGGACTATTTTTTCCGACTTAATTGGTTAATATCATCATCATGACAGAACCCTAGTTTTTGATATGCGTATATAAATTATTTTGCCTTTAGTTTCCTAGATAATCCCTTTCTCGGTAAGTGAAAACCTTATGAAAATATTATGTACAGTAGTTTTAGAGATTAGCTCGAAGAAACTCAGCCGACGGGGGATTTTAATTATAAATTATAATACGTACCTATTGTGTATGATCTGATACTATCTGATAATAGTAGTCTCAAAATTAGTATTAAAAATAAAGTTAATTTAGTGGCCGTTCAACTGACAAGGCCTGTACAATGTACAGTGTACACAGGTAAAATTTATATCTGTAAACTATTCAACGAATCTTTAAGGTTTTGAGTTTTTGTTGTCTTTATTTTCTTTTTATCAATCTTTTAAATCGTTCATCAGGTTAATACATAAAAACTTTTTAACAAAAAAATAAAAACCGACTTCAAACAAAAGCACTAAAAAGTAATAAATAACTGATTGGTAGTTTTCATTTACTATACATACCTAATCAAATATTTTCGAAGTCGGTGTGCTTTGGCTAAGTAATTAAAGCCTACCTATTAATTACATACCTAATCAAATATTTTCGAAATCGTTGCCAGCCCATACAAAGCAAAGCACACCGACTTCGAAAATATTTGATTAGGTATGTATAGTAAATGAAAACTACCAATCAGTTATTTATTACTTTTTAGTGCTTTTGTTTGAAGTCGGTTTTTATTTTTTTGTTAAAAAGTTTTTATTTTTCCCTTTTTAGTGTAGACAGTAGTAGAAAAGTAAGGATTCTAACGTGTTAGGCTTGTCAAATCAAACAAAATAAGCCCAAACTCAAAGTATCTACTGTTAGCCGTTGAAGAGTTTCACCATCCACCTTCTGGCCTTGCCATCAGATCAGGTCAACAACACCGAACTATGTACTATCAACGGAAATAGAAATACTTGCAAAGTTTCAAGTCAATATGACAATTAGAAGTAGGTTAAATTCATCATTCGTTGTTTTTCCACCCTTAGGGGTGGTATTTTTTTTTGAAATTTAAATGGGACCAATCTGGAAGTATACCCTTTCCAACGACACAAAAATTGTCCAAATCGGTCAATAAATGACGGAGTTCTGAGGTAACAAACATAAAAAAAAAAAAAAAAAAAAAAAAAAAAAAAAAAACATACAGTCGAATTGAGAACCTCCTCCTTTTTGAAGTCGGTTGAAAAACGTATATAACTTACATGTTTGAAAGTAATTTAGGATAAGAAATTGTTAAACAAAACTAAAAATGTCTAACTGACCAAAACTAAAAAGCTGTAAATAAAAAAATAATTACAAAAATAAAAAAAACTAAATAGAAAAAATTAAAAAAACTAACTTTTTGGTTTTTCTCAACGCAAGTCCTCTCAAAACTTGCGTAATTGATCGTAGTTTACCGAAATAATTTTAAAAATAAAATAAAACTATATCTTTAGGGTTCTACCGCTACTTAAAGTTTGAAAAATTGTCACTTCTAAGGTGATAATTTGCTATCTCAAATTTCAGTTCCTGAACTAAATATTAACTTTTTGTTTTATTTAGATATAATACACATATAAAGTATCGATTTACATGTAATAATACGTTACTAGCGATTTCGAATTTGTTAGGTTTCAACTTACAAATACCCTTAAATTGCAATTTTTTCCGAGGTCTTTCTTGATTTGACTCGTAAGTGTTTTCTTTGTTGCCAAATTAACTTTGTTGCTATAAAAATACAGTTTTCATTATTATAGTGTTAAAAATAGATTCTGTGATTTTAAAATAATGACTTTGAGGCGTGGAGTGAGCCTACTTGTGCTGTATTAGGACCATATAAAGAACTTTACGATCGACGGACTTCATTAAATAAATATATTTTATTTATCAAGAATGATCTGAAAATGAAGTATAATGGAAATAATCTATCCTAGTCACATATATATGCGATTGTTTCTGAAGAAATCAATAATATCTGGACCAAACTTCGATTCCAATCGTAAGTAAGGAACATGTAACTCAATTACCAGAAATCCTATTTAAAAAAAGCCTCAATATGAAAAGGTATCCCAGAAGTAAACAAAATGATAGTTTTGAAAACAAACAAGTGTTCTTAGAGCCATCTGAGAAGCTTTTCTAATGACCAATGCCCTTATTTAAATTTTGTTTGTATTTAAAACCTAAGAAAGTTCCCATCAGTGATAGAAGTTGTTTATTGGATCAAAGAAATTACAGGAAAATGATTATAAACGGTGTTGATAAGAAAGAAACGGCTAGATTAAAGAAACGATAGCAGCATAGTTAGCAAGTTGAAGAGTCAACAAATTGTCAGTATGTCATCTGATGATAGAGATCATATTCGGGAGCTGGCAATGCGAAGAATAATAAAAGCTAGAGATGCTGAAAGTAGCACTAGATGCAGGATATTTAAACCATTAAAACTTAACTTCTTTGCGAAATTATTGTGTGGTACGAGTGTCAGGTTACAGCACCGCCTGGTCTTCGACATATTGCTAATGAAAACCTTCAATACATGGCAAAAGATAAGACCTTAGAAAGAAGAGATTTGTCAAGCTGGTAACATAGGTCTCACAAAGTGTAATTGACGCAACTTCTAGCGATGACTTTATTAGAAACCAGCTTGCAATCTCGAGCAGAAATGCCAAACTTCGGACACAAATATTAGTTTAAATTTTAAGTTTTTCTCATTGATTATAAGCTTTATTTTTTATGTTTTTTTATTACGCTTTGTTTCAATAATTTCAGAGATAAAATATTTTATAAACTTCATTTTTGTATTATTTTAAGCTTACGGCTTAGGTCTGCAAAAACGTAAAATTTACAAAACTTCAAAGGGCGGTAGAGCCCTCAAGATGACACATATATTTAGTTTTTTACCTTTTTCGTAATTAGTATAAAATTACGCAAATTTCGATACCTCTTGCGATAGTGTAGCTCGAAAAAAAAATCTCATACATGGACGGGACACCCTAATGTACAATGTACATGTTTTAGAATAGCTGCGTGTGTATGTCTCCGACTGCATTATCGGCAACTTGTTATCTTCTTTTTAGTTCGCTTTTAACGCAGTCGAGCTTTTTATTTTTGTAAATATTTTTTTATTTAAATTTTCTTATCGCACGACCATTTAGGAGGATAT